CCCATCAACACTGTCAGGAACACACAACACTGTCAGGAACACACAACACTGTCAGGAACACACAACACTGTCAGGAACACACAACACTGTCAGGAAAACAGTCAGAAAACAACACTGTCAGGAAAACAACACTGTCAGGAAAACAACACTGTCAGGAACACACAACCAGGCTGCAACACACACACACACACACTGTCAGGAACACACAACCAGGCTGCAACACACACACAACACTGTCAGGAAAACACAACACTAGGCTGCAACACACATATAAGTAATAAGTAGGAGAACTAATAACAAACAGATATTTTTCTTAATTTTTGTTCTTTTCTTTTGTTTGAACCTATTTGCAGCTATAAGCCTTTACTTTAGATGCAGTCTGACAGCACAAGTGTCTAAAACCAACAAAGAGGAAGATTTCACTTCTAAGCCTCGAGTAGAAATGGTGATATGATGAAAAACAGAAGACATTTTTGCCTTTTCTGTCCTGATAAATCACACAACACAGACAACAAAACCGCCACAACAGACACACATCTCCATCAATAATGAAATGAAAAAATCCGCTCGTACCTGATACAGATCCTACGCACGGGAAAAGCACAGGAGAGAAAGACAGAAGCAGCGAGAGGCCGTTAGTTCAGACAGGATCGATGAGAGCTAGCGTTTAGCCGCTGGGATCGATACCAGTGCAGCGTTAGCATTAGTGCGGAGGCTAAACGCTAACATCAACACCGCGCGGCTCGCTTTGCTAATTAGGAGCTGAACGAAGAGCGCAGCGTTTCTCTATATCCCATGACAGACACCGGAGTCAGCGGTTTAAGCTCAAACGTGGAGAGAGAAGATGCAGGAAGGAAAGTAAACATGTGAGTTGTATGTAAAGGTTGTGAAGGTTTAAGGTTCTCTCTGATTATTTGAGACCGGTTTATTCACACATGCTGCCATCCATCCATCCATTTTCTTCCCCTTAATCCATTTCTGGGTCGGGGGGGTGGCCAGAGATGCCACCCAGTTCACAAAGCACCAGCCCCTCACTGATCCTCCTGCAGGTGGTGAGTCCACAGGAGCTGAGATCTTTCAGTGGGGGCTTCAGGCAAAGTGGGGTTAAGTGTCTTGCCCAAGGACACAACGACAGCAGTCATCAGTGGGAGTCGTGAAGTAGGTCTTACGGTGGGCTTGAACCCACGACCTTCAGGCTCAAAGGCCAATGCTCTACCAACTGAGCTATTGTCGCCCCCACACATGCTGCAATTAATCTAAATTACAGCTAATCTCTCTGGTCTCTCTCTCTCTCTCTCTGATCTCTCTCTCTCTCTCTCTGATCTCTCTCTCTGGTCTCTCTCTCTCTCTGATCTCTCTCTCTCTCTGGTCTCCCTCTCTCTCTGATCTCTCTCTCTCTCTGGTCTCCCTCTCTCTGGTCTCCCTCTCTCTGATCTCTCTCTCTCTCTGGTCTCCCTCTCTCTGGTCTCCCTCTCTCTGGTCTCCCTCTCTCTGGTCTCCCTCTCTCTGGTCTCCCTCTCTCTGGTCCCCCTCTCTCTGGTCCCCCTCTCTCTGGTCCCCCTCTCTCTGGTCCCCCTCTCTCTGGTCCCCCTCTCTCTGGTCTGGTCCCCCTCTCTCTGGTCCCCCTCTCTCTGGTCTGGTCCCCCTCTCTCTGGTCTCCCTCTCTCTGGTCTCCCTCTCTCTGGTCTCCCTCTCTCTGGTCTCCCTCTCTCTGGTCTCCCTCTCTCTGGTCTCCCTCTCTCTGGTCTCCCTCTCTCTGGTCTCCCTCTCTCTGGTCTCCCTCTCTCTGGTCTCCCTCTCTCTGGTCTCCCTCTCTCTGGTCTCCCTCTCTCTGGTCTCCCTCTCTCTGGTCTCCCTCTCTCTGGTCTCCCTCTCTCTGGTCTCCCTCTCTCTGGTCTCCCTCTCTCTGGTCTCCCTTTCTCTGGTCTCCCTCTCTCTGGTCTCCCTCTCTCTGGTCTCCCTCTCTCTGGTCTCCCTCTCTCTGGTCTCCCTCTCTCTGGTCTCCCTCTCTCTGGTCTCCCTCTCTCTGGTCTCCCTCTCTCTGGTCTCCCTCTCTCTGGTCTCCCTCTCTCTGGTCTCCCTCTCTCTGGTCTCCCTCTCTCTGGTCTCCCTCTGCAGCATGCAGCAAATGTAAAGAAATGGAACCGTAAATAAATTGGACTTACATGAAGCTGACGATGAGCAGGATGGTGGATATGTTTTGGACTCCGCCTCGCGACCGCTCTCCGAGTTTCATAAACTGGGAACCTGCAAAATGAAATCAGTTACAAATAAATAAAGACATTTTCTGAAAAATTATGATATATAATCATCTCTCAGAATCTAGTGATAAATGTTTTCTAATAAGAGAAATACAAAAGTCAGGTCTGATTGGATACAATGGGACTTAAATCTTTGCACTTTTTCATTACCACTTTTTGAAATAGTACATAAGAAATAATATTTACAAATATTTTGCACATAATAGACCATATTTCTTACATATTTCTACTTTTGCATATTTCCGATCTATTTGAACATCCTGGGTGATCTTATTGAAGGCAAATGTGAAAATAGAAATCCCTTGTTGTGAGATCAATCGTCCGAGTTTGTGGAATGGACTCACTGAGGAATTGAAAAACCGTTTAAGTTTGACACAGTTCGAAAGATGTTTTTAAAGAATTGGTGATGGAAAAGTACCTGGAGGAGAAAACATGATAACTTTATGTAAATGTGAGAGTGGGAGAGGGGTGTAGGGTCGGTGAGTGTTGGGGCCTGTGTTGTAGTCCTGCGTTTATGGACCCATTTATTTAGAAGTGCCTTATAAATAAATAGGTCAGACCCTCTGTGTTTACATGTTGAATGGCTTTGTGCTGTTCCTGCAGGTTTGAAAAAGAAAAAAAAAATAGAAAATGAGGTTTTAAGTAATCGTTTGTATCTTGTTTTAAAATGCTACTACAACAATATGCGTTTTAGTTGCCCCAGCTTTAAAAAAAAACAAAAAGTCTGTACGAACATGGAGGGCATTGCCACTCACTGGTCTCTCTTCGGTCTCGGTCCTCTCCAATGCCCCGGTCCCCCACTCCTCCTCCCCCCAGCGCCCCGCCCTCCCTGTCTCGCTCCCGGTCGCCTTGGCGCCTGGAGCATGTGCGCTTGCGTCGTCGTAGAGACGGGGGCGTCTTGGCGGCGTCGGGTCCCGCGGGGTCGCCGGTTGTCACCACGGACACTTCGGTCTGGAGCAGAGTCTCCAGTTTGCACACCTCACTCTCTGCAACAGGAAGGAGAGAGGGTTTACAACATGTGGTCCTCCTCACGGCAGGACACCAGGACATGTGTCTCTCATGTGCGATGATTATGATGATGACTATTGCTGGGTTGTAACCATGTGACCAAAAGGGGGCGTGGCATGGGGCCGTAGGACAGGAAGTATTTTTGCCCTATTAAATAGAATGGGTGATGCGGGAAAACGCAGCTACAGGAGCTTTTCGTGGCTTAGTATCACTCTTATTTTGAGTGAAAACTATTTTCAATGCAGCATATGCCTTGTAGAGTTTGAATGAGTCCAGTTTTTTCAACAATGAGGAGGATTAAGGCTGTTATAGTGACGACAGTGGAGCTCGTCACTCTTGTATCAATAGAACCACGTCTGAGATGATAGTTCTGATCAATAATACAATTAATCGGGCACAGATGTTACTTTTCACAACATTTGAGGCAAGAAATATGACCCTTTATTGTCATTTCGGTTAATTGTTATGCTCCAGGGGGGCTCCGTGGCGTTAAGCTAACAGCAGTAAGCTAACAGCGGGAGCTGCAACGAACGCAGCCGTCCTGTGGGCACGGAGCTTGAATACAACTTCAGACATTACCCTGGTCCTCACCGTCCCAGTCGTGGGAATAACGATGAACAGTGACTCTTGTAACACAATAGAATATATGTGAGACGACTGATTGTAAAGCCTACTATTAGCTTTGTTACACATCTACATTTTGGTTTGAGGCAACCTTTGGCCTTAAAACATGTATTTAACACTTCTTTCTCTGTGTTCCCTCGGTTACTACAACCGTATACCACATAAAAATACTGCATTGTATCAATGAAAGTTAGCAAAGTAAAGACTGTGGACTGTCAGCTGTGTCTGCGGCCGCAGATGCTACGCATGCTAATGCTAACGCATGCTAATGCTACGCATGCTAATGCTAACGCATGCTAATGCTACGTATGCTAATGCTAACGCATGCTAATGCTAACGCATGCTAATGCTACGCTACATTCTTTATTAGGCCTTTTCCTAAAAATCGAAACCCGTTGGTGAAATAAATTTTAGCTCCCCACTTGATATGTACATTTGCCACAACTGTACAAGCCACAGAAAAAGATCATTTTGACTCGGAATCAGTGATTTTTTACATAGTTCTTAATGGGGAGATTTACTTCCTGTCCCTCGGAGCACTCTTGCGCTGCTGCGTGACGTCAGCTGCAACCCAGCAATAGCAGCTCTTTAGTTAATAACAAAGATGAGAAAAATATGTCGAGACTAAATATTTGCACTAAAATGAAACGACAGTCTATGGCTCAGATTCTTCACTCCATTTTTATTTTTGTTTTAAAGCCAGAGAACTTTATTGATCTTACATTTCTAGATCAGATTTTTCAAACAGTAAACAGGTGAAGAAGACCGCACTAACCACCAAACGGTAGTGATAAACTACTACTATGGCCATAGCTGCCCTGGGGACGATTGACAGAAGCAGATTCATTCTAATGTAGATGAAGTGTCTTGCCTAAGGACACAACTACAGTTTGGCACTTTACAGTCGCAAAACTGAAATTAGCAAATGTATTATGTGTGAAGGTGGTTTCTACTTTAAACTCCTTTTAACTAGTGTCAAAATTCAAATTAAAATATATATTTGGTTCCATTTCCCCCTTTTTTGCATGTAAGTTTGAAAATAATATCAAGAAAATTTTGTCAATATATTTCAAACTTGAATTCCATACTAGAAAAAAAATATTCAATACTAATTTCAATACCTCACTAGTTACATGCTAGCTACACATGCTCCTTTTAAACATAAGACTGTAGTTTATATGTGAAAATACTCAGGCCACAAAGGCTCTTCTTCAAACCTCTTCTCGCATAAACACCCCAGTGTCATGTGACCTACCCATGCACGGACCACAGTGTGTCATGTGACCTACCCATGCACGGACCCCAGTGTGTCATGTGACCTACCCATGCACGGACCCCAGTGTGTCATGTGACCTACCCATGCACGGACCACAGTGTGTCATGTGACCTACCCATGCACGGACCCCAGTGTGTCATGTGACCTACCCATGCACGGACCCCGGTGTGTCATGTGACCTACCCATGCACGGACCCCGGTGTGTCATGTGACCTACCCATGCACGGACTACAGTGTGTCATGTGACCTACCCATGCACGGACCACAGTGTGTCATGTGACCTACCCATGCACGGACTCCAGTGTGTCATGTGACCTACCCATGCACGGACTCCGGTGTGTCATGTGACCTACCCATGCACGGACCCCGGTGTGTCATGTGACCTACCCATGCACGGACCCCGGTGTGTCATGTGACCTACCCATGCACGGACCCCAGTGTGTCATGTGACCTACCCATGCACGGACCCCGGTGTGTCATGTGACCTACCCATGCACGGACCCCAGTGTGTCATGTGACCTACCCATGCACGGACCCCGGTGTGTCATGTGACCTACCCATGCACGGACCCCGGTGTGTCATGTGACCTACCCATGCACGGACCCCGGTGTGTCATGTGACCTACCCATGCACGGACTCCAGTGTGTCATGTGACCTACCCATGCACGGACTCCAGTGTGTCATGTGACCTACCCATGCACGGACCCCGGTGTGTCATGTGACCTACCCATGCACGGACTCCAGTGTGTCATGTGACCTACCCATGCACGGACCCCGGTGTGTCATGTGACCTACCCATGCACGGACTCCAGTGTGTCATGTGACCTACCCATGCACGGACCCCGGTGTGTCATGTGACCTACCCATGTGTCTATAGTACTCCTCGATGCCGCTCCAGGTGTTCTTCTCGATGAGGGCTTTGACCAGGCTCCACGGCTGCTTCCTGTAGCAGATGTTTGAGGAAACCCTGCAGCGGAAGCACACAGCACAGTCACAACACAGGAAATGTAAAAAAAGTAATGTTTATTTATATAGCGCCTTTCACAGACCAGAGTCACAAAGCAGTTTATAATTGTGGGCCTTTGTCTCTCACTCCGTGCCGCCCAAATGACCCCAAACTACTCAATATCACATTATTCAGAGTTTATCATGATTTTTCAACCACCGGCAAAAAGGTAACGCATCAGTGTGATTTTAAAGCATGTAGAATATTAGGCAGAGAAACTCAAAGACAAGAAAGGCTTAAACTAAAAATGATGGAATTTTTGACCAAGTTACTGTAGTTAGAACAGTTTTTAAAAATACAGTAAAAATATAAACACTTTGGCTCTTTAGAACAGACCTGTCAAACTCAGGCTCATAGGCCAAATCTGGCCGCAAGACCCTTTTCAGTGGCCTCTAAAATGATAATCATCTATTTCATCAGGAATCTCCAGTCTCTCTCCCTCTCCGGCCCCCCTCTCTCTTCGGTCTGTCTCTCTCTGGTCTCTCTCTCTTCGGTCTGTCTCTCTCTGGTCTCTCTCTCTCTTCGGTCTGTCTCTCTCTTCGGTCTGTCTCTCTCTGGTCTCTCTCTCTCTCTCTCTGGTCTCTCTCTCTGGTCTCTCTCTCTCTCTCTCTGGTCTCTCTCTCTGGTCTCTCTCTCTCTCTCTCTGGTCTCTCTCTCTGGTCTCTCTCTCTGGTCTCTCTCTCTGGTCTCTCTCTCTGGTCTCTCTGGTCTCTCTCTCTGGTCTCTCTCTCTGGTCTCTCTCTCTGGTCTCTCTCTCTGGTCTCTCTCTCTGGTCTCTCTCTCTGGTCTCTCTCTCTGGTCTCTCTCTCTCTCTCTGGTCTCTCTCTCTGGTCTCTCTCTCCAGTTTCTTACTTCAGGTGGTTAAAACATGCAGCTGTTACTTATTTCCACATATTGTAGGTTATTCTGAGAACCTAACCCTTACGATAAACCAGGGACCACAGTGTAACCAGAACAGTGAGTGTCAAGGCGGCGTGTGCTGGCGGCGTGTGCTGGCGGCGTGTGCTGGCGGCGTGTGCTGGCGGCGTGTGCTGGCGGCGTGTGCTGGCGGCGTGTCCATACCGTAGCCGGCTCTTGTGTTTGCTGACGGAGGTGAGGCAGTATCGGTGGATGGTGTAGAAGTAGTCCTGGTACGGGATCCCGGAGGTGATGACTTCAGAGTCCACCACAAAACACTCGCCACGAACACTGCTCCGATGCAGCGTCTGCACAACAGGAAGAGCAAACTGACAACTGGAACTAGTGGGTACTGCGGAGTGGGTACTGCGGAGTGGGTACTGCGGAGTGGGTACTGCGGAGTGGGTACTGCGGAGTGGATACTGTGGAGTGGGTACTGTGACTATGAAGTGGGTACTGTGAACTGGGCACTGGGAAGTGGGTACTGCGAAGTGGGTACTGCAAAGTGGGCAGAAATAAAAAAGTTACTTCAAGATAACTCCAGGATCCGAAACAATACCAAATGTATTGCTGAACTGCGAGAACACTGGAGTGGTTACAAGCTCATTCTGGAGAAGCGAGACATGGGGACTTCGGTCTTGGGGGGTTAGGGGGAGTTTTATTCACGTTCCCAATAAAAACTCAAGTCAATAATTACATCAACCTCTGCCAAATGTACAAATTGTAAATATTTTGTAGTTTGACAAACAGCCAATCTACGTAAACAATCAAACAGTCTTAGTAAAGCCTATTAAGAAAATACTTGTTATTCTTTCCGTGTTTGCAATGTCCTGTGTTTTGCAACGCTTCTATGTCCCCTGTCCCATTGAAACAAAAAATAAAAATAAAACTGTTTTTGTAATGTATTTGCCCAAGACATGACCAGGAGGCTGAAGGACAGTGGTGATGATCCAGGACATTTATCATTTATCAACAGTTATGGACATTGGTCATCTGCTCCTCTATGTGTTTTTTTATTATTGTATTTTCTGTGTTTGTGTTTTAGGCCTATACAAAAGATAAGATGAACCTTCTTTAAATTGCACATAATTATATCCTGCACAGACTATATTTTTGACAGCAACATATTTTCACACTTCTGTCGTTTCCACAATCTGAGTGATTCTATCCGTGCCAAATGTGACATATACATTTCTCCAGTGTGAGAACGATAAAGTCTATCTTGAACAGAACAGACAGATTGGACTATAAATGATCCACTTTGCCGAAATAACACTATCCCAATGCACTTCCCAAATCCTCCTAGTTGTAAAGAACGTATATCTTTAAAATCCCAGTGAGCGAGACTGACCTGTGTCTCGACCACGGGCGCCGTCTTGGGGCCGAGCGGGTTGTTGAGGGCGATGGTGTAGCTCAGAACTCGGCTGGTGTTCCCCGTGCTGCCGTCCTGCTGCCACTCGCCCACCGACAAATCTGCACAAAAAGCGTTCACAACAAACTCAATACAGAACATGCGGAATTTACTAAGAGCTTGAAATGGGTTTGATTGGCGACTGCGGGGAGAAGAGAAGACCTCGATGTGTAGACTGAGAGTAAAAAGAGCCGAGGGAGGGGAGTGAAAGTGTGGGTCGGCTCCGTGAAAAAATTCCCTAATTAGTCCCGACACATTGTTCTCTTCTGAACAGGGCCTCTCAGCGGGGACTACAGCCCAAACACTATATAACTCAATCCAGTCTACTTTCTATTAATATTCAGAATCCTGACACAAGTGCAGAAAACATTACACAAGCTAAAATAAGTTTAGAGAAAAAGCGGTAAACTCCATAAAATAATCATCTTCTCTTTATATTTTTTGGTCTTGCCCTTCCTAAGATCGGAATGGATGAGCACCAATGTGTAATTAAGCTTACTTAAAGGTGCAGTACGCGATTTTGTTAGCTTAGCAGTAGCACCAACTGGAAACCACCCTCCCCTCCCCTCGCCTTGGCCTCCCAGCGGGGGCTTATTCATATGGAATAATGATTCTGATAATATTCTTACAATAATAACTTTTCGGCGGGAACAATCTTTTAAAATTATTATAAGTTGCTTCTCACTTGTAGAGAAAAAAATCCATAGTTAACCGCAATTCATGAATTGGGTAATTTTTTAAAGAATGGGTAGTTATAACTTTTTTTCCCGAAAGATTACAAACTTTTTTTTAAAATGATGGCAAGTTACTGCAGTCTGCTCAATGTTAACACCAGAAACAAACCAGTCTTGTACATTTCCAAAGTTTTAACAGTGTGTATAAACCTAAGAACGAAAAAGATACGCACTGGTTCGACCCACCCAGCTTCATGATTGGTCGTGATTAATTGAAATCCTTAAGCCCCTTCGTCATAGGGTGAACAATCGGTCAAAATTATGCAACAAGATGAGACTATTTTAAATATATTATAATTGAAAAATACTTGATAGTGCCGTGCCCCATGGTCAGAAATGTTACATTATTTGTTAACACTTTATAATAAAATACACCTTATTTAGGCTTAATAAATGTTGAAATAACACTTAATTAATCATGAAAAATTCATTAATTTAATTAATAATATATGCATATTAACATACATTATACGTATAAACATGCCGGAATTAGCCTAAGAATTAATAAGTAGTTATTAAGTGTTGGTCACATTTAATTCATGAATTATTCATGATTAATAAAGTGTTATTTCAACATTTATTAAAGCTGCACTAACTGACTTTGGGATTTTGAAGCCGCGGACTCGCTGGCCTCTCTCTTTCTGCTCCCCTCCCCGCACCCACGAAGCTATCGCCCCCCACACACACACCCACTGTTGGGACGAAGCTAGCGTCTCCCAATATGGATAATACATGGACATGGATTTGCACGTGGATGGCGTGACCATAGAACGATAGAACCGGGAAGCGCGGAGGAACGAGACTTTCTTTTGGAAGGCTGTCTCGCTGTGTAAGCAGTAACCGTGACGAAGAGACGAAGCTTCAGGTTAGCTCCTCGTCTTGTTGTGCTAACTCAGCCGTCTATGCTAACGGACCTGTAGATTTCTCACAAAAGTGGGGGCCAGTGGTCCGCGGTGATTGGTCACAATCTGCGACCCGAAACACATTCTCTTCCTTGTTTCATCAAAACTCGATCTAAAATATAATGTCACGCCAGCCCAAATCTGCGCTACTTTTTCGTCAAAAGGACGTATATCCCAATGCCCTACACGGACATGGATAGCATTTTCGTAATGAATACAAAAATAAAGTCAGTTAGTGCAGCTTTAAGCCTAAATAAGGTGTAGTTATCATAAAGCGTAACCCATTATTTTAAAATGAAATACAACAAGCTTCTGAAATCACCTTTAAAACAAACAACAAAGTGGTTTTCTCACATTGCCGAGAGTCAGTGAGAAATCTGTCAACAAGGACCAGTTTGAATGTATTTGTGCTGAAAGTGAGAGTTGAGCCTGAAGAGGGCAGACAGGAGACAGCTGTCCAAACAAACACTGATAAATCTCCAGCGATAGTGGCGTCGACACAGAGACGTACAGAGTGTTCACTGAGCGCAGCTGCCAAGTCCCAGACACGCGGAACAAGAAATATGTGTCAAAAATGTCAACGCGTCTGTGGGATAAAGCCTTACATCAAATATTTACTTTGGGGAATGCCTTTGTTCTTTCTCTTTTAACATTAGTTTAGAGTAGGGACAAAAGCAGCGACGCATGTAATAAAAGATGGATGTAAGGATGCATGTGTGTTGCATTTTGTATCTGTTGTTTTAGTTCTTCTTGTGAAGCACTGTCCATGAGGTGCGCTACACAAATAATGTTGATTGATGGAGTGTTTCAAGAGTTCAAAAGTTTATGTCTGAACAGGAAAAACTTGAGCGATCACTTTATCCTGTAACAAGTTGATGCAGGTTCTCACAGTGCATTGTTTATGGGCTGACACAGACAAACACACATGGTTTTGGTTCATGTACCAGTGTTTTGGTTAATGGTTGACATACCATTAACCAGAGAGAGAGATCAGAAAGAGAAAGTGACCAGAGAGACCAAAAAGAAAGTGACCGGAAAGAGACCAGAAAGGGAGTAACCAGAGAAAGACCAGGGAGAGAGAGACCAGAAAGAATGACGAGAAAGAGAGAGTGACCAGAGAGAAAGACCAGTAAGAGAGTGACCAGAGAGAGAGAGTGACCAGAGAGAGAGAGTGACCAGAGAGAAAGACCAGAAAGAGTGACCAGAGAGCGAGGCCAGAGAGAAGGACCAGAAAGAGAGTGACCAGAGAGAAAGACCAGGGAGAGAGAGAGCAGAGAGAAAGACCAGGGAGTAACAAGAGTGACCAGAGAGCGAGACCAGAGAGAAGGACCAGAAAGAGAGAGAGTGACCAGAGAGAGTGGCCAGAGAGAGAGTGACCCAGAGAGAGAGAGGGAGAGATTAATGGTTGACGTACCAGTGTTTTGGTTAATGGTTTACGTACCAGTGAAGTGTCTCTGGGAAAAGAGATGTTGGATGAAGTGTGTGTCCGCGGAAAAGAGGAGGTCGTGCAACTTGTCCACGCTCATGCGAACCACTGTGTTTATGTGCAGCCGACCCGCCAGGTTGGCACAGAACGACTCCACTTCACCTGCAACAACCATCATACAGGGACTTTTACATTGCTCACATTTCAAAAACATAATAATATTAAAATGTATGTGTATGGAGTCTTTCTGGGCCCTCAAGGTTCACTTATAAAAAGTTCAAAGCAAAAAACTGTTAAAAGCATAGATTTAAAAATGGATAGTTGACAAGTCTGAGACCAGAGAGAGAGAGAGAGAGACCAGAGGGAGAGAGAGAGAGACCAGAGCGAGACCAGAAAGACAGAAAGACAAGAGACAAACACCAGAGAAAGAGAGAGACCAAAGAGAGAAAGACCAGAGAGAAAAACTAGAGTGAGAAACCAGAGAGTGAGACCAGGGAGAGAGACGAGAGAGAGCAAATAGAGACCAGAAAGAGAGACCAGAAAGAGAGACCAGAGAGAGACCAGAGTGAGACCAGAGTGAGACCAGAGGTAGACCACAGAGAGACCAGAGAGAGACCAGAGAGAGACCAGAGAGAGAGACCAGAGAGAGACCAGAGAGAGAGACCAGAGGGAGAGACCAGAGAGACCAGAGTGAGACCAGAGAGAGACCAGAGTGAGACCAGAGTGAGACCAGAGGTAGACCACAGAGAGACCAGAGAGAGAGACCAGAGAGACCAGAGTGAGACCAGAGTGAGACCAGAGAGATCAGAGAGAGACCAGAGGTAGACCACAGAGAGACCAGAGTGAGACCAGAGTGAGACCAGAGAGAGACCAGAGAGAGACCAGAGAGAGACCAGAGAGAGACCAGAGAGAGACCAGAGAGAGACCAGAGAGAGACCAGAGAGAGACCAGATAGAGACCAGATAGAGACCAGAGGGAGACCAGAGAGAGACCAGAGGGAGACCAGAGAGAGACCAGAGGGAGACCAGAGAGAGACCAGAGGTAGACCACGGAGAGACCAGAGAGAGAGACCAGAGACAATTCCTTACTATACTTTTTTATCTTGTTATATTTATATACTTGTCTGGTGCACACTGGGGACTTTTGCACAGTTATTCCAATGTGGTTTTACTGCAAATGGCAAATACACTGAATCTGAATCATCACGAACCCTTGACTCAAACTGACTGAGATTTCTGCAGAGAATCCGGTCTGTGAAAAGCTCAAAATAAAGCAAAAGATGACTAACTTACTACAATCAGACAAAGCTAGATTTACAATTGCAGGATCCCACGAGCTAGTTTTAATCTGTGCACACTCTTTCCCCTGGAGCTCCGGCACACACAGCCACACTCACTCTCTTCCTGCGTGTCGGAGGAGTTGCTGGGGTCTGTGGGCAGGTCCTCATCGTTGGTGATGTCCAGTGATGACAGGTTTCCCAGGCTGGCGGTGGCGGAGGTGGTGGTGGTGGTGGTGGTGGGCACGGGCTGCATCTGAGGACTGAACTCTGACAGGCTGTCCCCACCCTCCTCCAGATACTGAGAGAGCCGCAGAGACACAGAGAGAGACACACACGGAGCAGAGAGAAACATCAGCCCACTGTCATATGACCCAGAGAGGAGCAGAGAGACAACCTCACGGTGACGAGGCAGACATACCGCTGTGGCCACAATGCATTAATGGGACCACAGAGTCACACAGAGAGATCCAGAGAGTTTAAAAGCAACTATCTCAACAATACATTCAAATTAATTTTTTACTGTACATAATTATATCCTGCACAGACAACATTTCTAACCTTTAAAGGTACTCTGTGTAATGTTTACAGTTGCTACAAATGAAAAAAATCATGATAACCACTAACAAATGTGACCTTTTTAAGAATATTCACCTCCAATATTTTTTTTAAATTGTTGTCAAAGGCTTAGAATTTGACTTGTAAATGTCCATGAGGCTGGAGGACTCTACATGTCAATGCGCCATCTTGAAATACGGTGGCTGATAAGGGACAAAAAATAGTTTGAGCGGGAGTTGGGGACCACTGTCAAAGACCTCACATTGTTCTGCGAAGCTACCGTAGTACCGTAAATTACAATATATGATGTCAACGCTAGATGGGAGTAAAAACTACACAGTGTACCTTTAACATGTTGCACAATCTGAGTGATTCTATCTGTGCCAAATGTGACATGTACATTTCTCCAGCGTGAGACCAATAAATCTTATCTTATTCAGATGTTTGTGAGGAGGGTTTTCAGGATCAATACTACAGCAATATCAAAGTAAATTGGATGTTAAGTCTTGTCATTTATACCTATTCTATGGTTTAGCTCATTATTAATAGTATTTTAAAATGTTTTGTATAAAAGGGTTTTTCTTTTGTATTATTACACAAGTTGACAGGCCAAAAATGGTCAGGGGTTTCTCAACTGATTTAGACTAATGTTGGTGTTCTGAGTCCGCATATCACATGCATTTTGCTCTATCAGGTCAATTTTTTGAGATACAGCCATCGTGTTACGGATTATGTACGTCTACGTTATTATGAATTCTGCTTATCAAATTTGATGGAGCAAATATAAACTGAATGACTTTGGATACGTTGACTTTTATTACTTGAGGAAAACGGAAAAAACGTCAAAGGTTTCTCAGCTGATGATGCACAGTAATTAGTTTTGTACGCAAAATCGATTTAAAAAAATATTTCTGTTGCAAAAAATCCTGACCTGATTGAGCAAAACCAAGGTCATTTTCGGACTCAGAGCATCAACATTAGTCTAATTCAGCTGAAAACCCTGGACTACTACAATATTTTTTTGTTACCCAGTGTTATTATTGATTTATTGATGAAAATACAGTTATACAAAAAGAGTACGACGGTAAAAAACAACAGATAAGATTGGACATCGACGTGTGTGTGTGTATGTTTGTTAATGATTCATAATGATCAATAGTTTCGCCCCTGGTTTCCATTCCTTTTTTGTGTACAAATATGCTCATTTCCAAAAACAAGACAGATAGAGAAGTCCTTGAAACATGCTCCATTACCGTCGGCAAAATCCATGTTTATATGTTTTGTAATTCTAAGTAATTCAGCACAAGAGCATTTTTCACGAGAGGAATCTGGAAGTTTTGGAAAAAAGGACAAAAGAGACCTCTATGATTTTTATTACTATTAATATTATTTCATATACACAAACTAGATGCTTTTGAGTGATCAGTAATTAACTATTGTTTTGTATTGGTTGTCTATTTTCCTTCTTGAGTGTCAATTACACAGTAAATTAGCTCTTATCTTATCCATCATTGATTTGTCGTGATAGTTGATAAAAACCTTGTATTTATCTTCTCCCCATTTACCTCGAGCGGTTGCATTTTAACAGAAGGTGAGAGGGGCAAAGCTGCTTACAGTCATAAACCCTGTAATTCCATCACAATTGGTAAACACAGGCTCACGGTCGCAATAAAGCCAAAAGCCGACTTACAAACGAGGTAGTAGCCGAGGCCGGAGCGGAGGAGGAGGTGGTGGGAGCCGAGCTGAGGGGAGTGGGAGGACTGGGGTCTGGCGGGTCGAGGCTCAGTCTGCGTCACGAGAGCAAGAGAAGTCAAAACATGGAGCAGAGGAAGAGGACAGTACATCAAAACAACATTATGCAAGTGAAGATGTGAGAGATAGGCTAATTACTATTCAAGTAACTTTAACGGCATTGGTTTCCTCCGGGTGCTTCGATGTCCCCTACCACTAAAAACATGTACAATAGGTCTGAATATAATGAATGAATGATTGAATGTAGGGTGTTGGTAGGGGCCAGTGTGTTCGGTGTCTTGCATCCGTCGTCAGTGTCAATGAAAACAATATATATCTGGTTCTTGGACAATGTTGAGCGCTTTGGGTGACTTTGGTCTGTAAAACGCACTATTTAAATACACATTACTTACTTACAGATCAGAGAACAAACAGTCTAAACACAAGAAATGCAATGATAAAAACATATGGAGCCATTGGTTCATAAGGGGCAAAGACCAATGTCCATAAATATTGATAAAAGTCCATAAATGTATGCATTATTATTGTGTATAAAGAGTACATGGGCTGTTTTAGAAATGGGTTTAGGAATGTATAAAAGGTATAAATTGTCACATTTGTTTTTGGGGCCTCGCCTATAAGCTACTGCAGCTTCCTGGGAGTTCCCTTATGCAAAAAAAAGTGAATAATTTGTATGACTATGAAGTTTTGTACACAAAGATAAACTATGTATTTTATTTCAATGCAATTTTTGTGTGTATTGTCCTAAATCCCAACAGCTGTCGTCTCCGTGGCCAATTGCCAACATCACATCAGAGAATCAAATGGAAATGCAGTAATAACAAACACATTAGGAGCCAATGGTCCATAGGGAGCGGGATGTCCTTAAATATCCCGGATCATCACCGTCCTCAGACCCTCCTGAGGCCCAGAGAGGATCTGCTCCCACAGACAGACAGGCTTTAGATCCAGGACTCAGGCTGTCCAGTTACAAGTATTTCTTTGTGTTAACTGCAAACATGAGAAGCTATGGAAGAAGAAGCCAGCAGATTCTTGTACTGACTTCTCTATTCAAGTCAGATCTAACTGTGTGTGTGTGTCATGTATCGCCAACACGTTTTTCAGTGATTTTAGTTGAGTTTCTTTATAAGCAGAGTTTGGACACGTGATACTTTTTAAATGCTCTAAAAATGATCATATAACTTGCACATAATAAAAAATAAAAACACAATATTTATGCTTAGCAATTCATAAAACAATATAGTTGTTAATTGAGAATGTGATCTAGACTGAGCATTAAAGCTAATACCAAAATGTCCAGATTATGCTACTCTTTTCTTGTTCTTTGATCCCTGCGGCTTATATAGCAATGCGACTAATATCCATCTTGATTTGTTCGGCACTTAGAATTGCCTTGTGGATGAATTATGCTATACAAAAGAAACTTTCCTTGCCTAATATGTGTATTCTTTATTGTAGCAGAGTTGTCGTAGAGTTCAGACTTATTATTTGGGCTGCAAGTTGTAGTCGCTATAGGACACTTGTTTATCAAAATAGTTGAAGGTGAATGAGCCGCGGAAGCTAACGGTGAAGCTAATAAACACATTGTCATTAAATCATGCCGTGTCCAGTTAAAACAGTCGTCTCTCTGCTACACTCCAACACAAAACCCTGCGGCTTATATTCAAGTACGGCTCATATGTGGACGCCATTTACTTTCTTTCAAAATGTTGGCGGTGCGGCTTATACACAGGTGTGGGTACAAGACCAGAAAGTACGGTACTAATTAGTTGATTAATTTTGATGACCCAAGGCTCATCCCATACACAGTCTGCTAGTAAACCACTAAATACTGACCAACAAAGCAGAAATTAGAGTATTGTGAGATGTAGGCACTGACCTGTGTGTAGAAGGCAGCTCTATGGGCAGGCAGGAGGTGGCGGAGGGAGAGGCCGGTGCTCCCAGACTGCTGGAAGAAGGAGACTGCACAGGGGGCATCAGGAGGGGAGGCGGAGAGATGCCTGTGGAGGTCATGGTGCTCAGGTCCAACAAGTCCGTGACGGAGACCGACTCGTCCCCTGGCCTGGAGAACAACCGCACAATGTGATCAGCGGAGACAGAAAGAGACGTGTGTTTAGGGTACGACTGGGCAAATTGGGAAGGATCGTTAGCGGTGAAGCGTCATAACCGATTTCCACGCAGCAAATTAACAAACAAATCTTCATTATTAGATCGAACCCTGAAGCGTGGCCTACGTGAAGTTCTGCAGTAACCGCACGGAACAGACACATCCTGTTTGAGAAGTAGAGTTTCTGACGTGCTCGCTCAGAGGAGAGTCATAGAGATGGACATTTATTATGGCAAGGTTTGGGCTCATAGCGTTTTGGCTAGTGGCCTTAAAGCTCCAGCACGTTTCATCATGTTGTTTGACCAGCTAGCCAAAGAGCATGCACAAATGTAGTAAATGTACAGTCAAAAATAACACTCAAAAAGTAATAGCTGGTCAAGGGTTAGGGTACTTAAAGCAGCAATGTTAGATTTTCATGTCAAGTCATCATTAGAGGGCCCTAATCTGTCAAAAGGCATTAATAAACCATGCTCTTTTCGAAAACTTCTTTAACTGATAACAGTAGTTCAGAGATATTTGACTTTTAAAATTTGTTTTACAGCCCCTAAATCTTGTTATTGTTTTAATTTCGATGTCTCGCCCTCCACTGTTTAACCAATCAGAAAGTCTGTGATCCGGGCGCCAGAACTCACTGCGTCGAGCAAATCTCACTGGTAAAATAACATGTGGCACAGAACTAATAAAGGTCTCGTGATGATTCCATATCCTTAATGACAAATCAAGGAATAAAACAAGGATTTCAATAGGGGCCTTTGTGAAAAAGGTGTTGGTTTTAGATTGTTGTCAAAAAAATAGCAACCTGTGTTAGAGAGAGTGGGAGAGGTGGCAGTACCACTTTTGGCCAGATTCTTTACATACTGCTCCTTTAAGATTTATATATTTATATATATATTATTGAAGTAATGGGCGACGGTGGTTGGTAAAGCCTAATGGGTTAGAAGCTGAAGGAGCTTCTTTCAACCAAACCAAGTAAAAACAATGCCCCTTCGCTCTATTGGATAGTTCAACAACCAACCAGATTGTATTCTAGTGGAAGCCAGTCAGAATCCCAGTCAGGTGAGGTGTCGTGTGAGAACATTTTACGTCGCTGCTTACATTACTGTTTCTCGTCTGCCCATCATCCACTCTGACGATCTGATTGGTCCTGCCAGATCTTGCTCAGACATAGTTCTACCCCATTAGTGCAAACTACCCAGTGGAAAATGGAGGCGGGGCTAAAGTTTGTCTGCACTCAGGCTAGATTCTCACCCGACCCAGAAATAGATTATTAAAGAATCAATATTGAAGTATTGGTTATTATAATTATTACTGAATCCCCGTGTAGCTGGATAAACGCAGTCTGAGTGTGAGTGACAGGGAATCACTACAGTGGGGTGTGTCCTTACAGTAGTCCGTTCATGTGTTCGCCGGTGGGGGAGACGTAGTCGTCATCTTCGCTCGTGAGACCCAGCTCGGTGCCGTAACACTGATGTACGATGTGCCAGAGCTCCTTCGGCGACAACGACTGCAAAACAGAAGATCACAAATGTTACATAAAACGGTAAACGTCTCCATGACTTATCTATTCATGGTCTTTTATTTAACTAGGAAAGTCCCACTGAGCTTGCAGGTTGTTAGTGTAGGGGTGTCCAAACTTTTTTGTGGGAGGACCACTTTAGTTCAGATGATTATGAAACTGTTTTGACTGGATTCAGGCTGTTATGAATTTTAAAAAGTCGAATGTTGAAGCTGAAGTTGGCTGTATGACAAATGTTAACATCTCACAAGCGCCATGTATAGTGCCATATAAAGAATTTTGAGACACAATCAAAAACACATTTAAAATTGAAGGCAATAGTTTGATCTTCTGTTCTGGGCTCTACAATAAGGTATCACAGGCTTGTAAGGGTAGAGCTGAAGTTGGCTGGATGACAATGTGAACTTGTGTTTAGGTTAGCGAAGGCAGAGGGCCACAAAAAATGACAGAGGACACTAAGGGGCAGCAGGACTGAGGGAAGAGAGACCAGAAAGAGAGAGAGAGACCAAAGAGAGTGAGAGAGACCCAAGAGAGAGAGACCAGAGAGAGAGAGACCAGAGAGAGAGAGACACCAAAGAGAGACCAGAGAAAAACCAGAGAGAGAGAGACCAATGAGAGAGAGAGAGACCAGCGAGAGAGAGAGAGGGAAAGAGAGACCAGAGATAGAGAGAGACCAGAGAGACGAGAGAGAGAGAGAGAGAGAGAGAGAGAGAGAGAGAGACCAGAGAGAGACCAGAGAGAGAGACTAGAGAAAGAGAGAGAGACACCAAAGAGAGACCAGAGAAAAACCAGAGAGAGAGAGAGAGAGAGAGAGAGACCAGCGAGAGAGAGAGAGAGAAAGGGAAAGAGAGACCAGAGATAGAGAGAGAGACCAGAGAGAAAGAGACCAGAGAAAGAGAGAGAGAGAGAGAGAGAGAGAGAGAGAGAGAGAGAGAGAGAGAGAGAGAGAGGGAGAGAGACCAGAGAGAAAGAGAGAGAGAACAAAGAGACCAGAGAGAAACCAGAGAGAGAGACTAGAGGGAAAGACCAGAGTGAGAAAGACAGGAGAGACCATGGTTGGACATGCCTGATGTAGTGTTTAAATGACAGTTATGCTGCTTATAAACTTTTCCATGATTTAAAAATGTAGATTTAAAAAAAACTAAATGGGATCCCATTAATACCGAGATCCTCAAACCCTCCCGCAGAATATGTGTGAAATAAACTTACATATTTACTGTCTGTATTCAATCCATACATAACACCAGCCAGTGAAATGTGTTTGTGTACCATTTTTGCGATCCTATTTTGGGAGGTTAAACATTCGCCGTTGTTTAAAGAGGGCCCGAGCTGCGGAGGAGGAAGTACCTTGTCCATCAGTGCGTTCTGCCACAGACGGAAAATCATCATGAAGCTTCGGTCCCTGGCTCCGAAAGAGGTGAAGAAGTGCTGAGAGAGAGAACATAACAGGAAGGACAGTAGATAAGTCAGACTGCTCAACGCAACTCCTCAATGTCACAGCAAAAAAAGGCATGACTCAGCAGCTTTTCGATCACATAAGCATAACCCCCGAGGAGAAGGAAGTGACTGAACAAAAGCAGAGCTGAGAAAATCATTGATTTGAGTTTGTTCCAGAGCAAAAGGTTACGTCCATTTTGTTATGTCAGGGAAGTGTTTGGTAATCTCTGGTCTTGGCCTGGGGTGTGCTTGTTAAATCTGTCATAAAAAAACAGCTGTATTTTCAGTCTGCACAAGTATAATAAGGTACAATGATAATATTAAAAACCAAAAACCCCAAAATTACAGCGATCAATGTTTTATTGCGGGGGTTAGGTTCCAGAAATGACCCCTAAGCACCTAAAATCCCAACTGCTGAAGTGAGAGAGACCAGAAATGTCGAACTTAGGTCTGAGCGCTGCTGCAGCTGTCAAAAGCCGTGCATACACTGTAAAATGCAGCTGCAGAGGAGACCGAGGGGCAGGAGCAGGACTGAGGGCTACGAGAAGAGACCAGAGAGAGACCAGATATATAAACCAGAAAAAGACCAGAGAGAGACCAGAAAGAGAGACCAAAGAGATAGACCAGAGTGGGACAAGAGAGAGAGACTAGAGAGAGACCAGAAAGAGACCAGGAAGAGACCAGAGAGAGAGACCGGAGAGAGAGGCCAAAGAAAGACCAGGGAGGGACTACAGAGAGAGACTAGAGTGAGACCCGAGAGAGAGAAGAGAGAAACCAGAGAGAGACCAAAAAGAGATGAGGGAGAGAGACCAAAGAGAGACCGGTGAGAGACCAAAGAGAGAGAGACCGGAGAGCGAGGCCAAAGAAAGACCAGAGAGGGACTAGAGAGAGACTAGAGAGAGAGTGAGACCCGATATAGAGAAGAGAGAAACCAGAGAGAGACCAAAGAGATGAGAGAGAGAGACCAGAGAGAGATCAGATATATAAACCAGAAAGAGACCAGAAAGAGAGACCAAAGAGACAGACCAGAGAGGGACAAGAGAGAGACCAGGCAGGAAGAGACCAGGAAGAGACCAGAGAGAGAGACCGGAGAGAGAGGCCAAAGAAAGACCAGGGAGGGACTACAGAGAGAGACTAGAGTGAGACCCGAGAGAGAGAAGAGAGAAACCAGAGAGAGACCAAAGAGATGAGGGAGAGAGACCAAAGAGAGAGAGACAAGAGAGAGCAGAGAGAGAGAGAGACCAGAAAGAGACCAGGAAGAGACCAGAGAGGAACTAGAGGAAGAGAGACTAGAGTGAGACCCGAGAGCAAGAAACCAGAGAGAGAGACCAGAGAGAGAGTCCAAATAGACAGACCAGAGAGGGACAAGAGAGAGAGACTAGAGTGAGACCAGAGAGAGAGCCCAAAGAAAGATACCAAAGAGACAGAACAGAGGCCACGAAAGGTGAAGCGTGTTATAGCGAGAGACCACTGAAGTGTAGCACCAAACTTCAAAATCCCAAAGAAATGCACAGGCACATACACTAATACAGAGAATGCAATACAAGTGGAAAAGTCCCACAATCTAAAAAAATAACAACCCCTTAAAGATGAGGGGGCATGAGTAAAGATGTCTCCAGCTCTCCTGAATTGACTTCACTCCAATATTAACCCACAACGACGAAAGACGTGAAATCAAACGCTGGGGAAGAGCATTTGCGACGCTGTTGGGTAATCACTGACCTTCTCGTTGTCAGTGCTGATCTGAATGGCATTTGGGATGAGCTTGGCAGTCTTTTCCTTGGTGAGAGAGGTGACGTCCTTCAGCAGGATAGTGATCTGTGAAGAACGAGGAGAAAGCAGATCGTCATGTGTGTGTGTGTGTGTGTGTGTATGTGTGTATGTATGTATGTATGTATGTATGTGTGTGTGTGTGTGTGTGTGTGTTGTTATCCCCACAGTGTGTCCCTAACTGCGGGATATGGATCTGCAAACATTGGGTATTGAGCCTTATCTGAAAGGTGACATTGAGCGTTGGGAATGTGTGAATAGTGTGCGTGTGACTGTGCATGCGTGTGTGTGTGTGTTTGTATTAGAGCTGCATTATTTTGGAATAATATATAAATTGCAAAATTTCTGACCAAAATAGCATTTTTTGGTATTCTGTATGTTATTGAAAAATAGAAAATAGAGAAATCTGACAAATCAGTGAGGTTGGAAAACATGTGTACGTCTGTTCTGCGCATCTTTCTATGTGTGCGCGCCTCTCTCTGTGCGCGCCTCTCTGCGTCTCTCCCTCTCTGCGTCTCCCTCTCTGCGTCTCCCTCTCTGCGTCTCTCTGCGTCTCTCTCTGCGTCTCTCTCTGCGTCTCTCTCTGCGTCCCTCTCTACGTCCCTCTCTATGCGCCTCCCTCTCTGTCTCTGCGCCTCCCTCTCTGCGTCTCCCTCTCTGCGTCTCCCTCTCTGCGTCTCCCTCTCTGCGTCTCCCTCTCTGCGTCTCCCTCTCTGCGTCTCCCTCTCTGCGTCTCCCTCTCTGCGTCTCCCTCTCTGCGTCTCCCTCTCTGCGTCTCCCTCTCTGCGTCTCCCTCTCTGCGTCTCCCTCTCTGCGACTCTCTCTCTGCGTATGTGTGTGTGAGTGCAGATCTCACCGTGGTTTCCCAGCGAAAGATGTTGCTGTAGAAACACAGCCAGTTCTCTGACAAATACAGACGACCCTGAAGTAAAATGTCCTTCTGCAGAGCGCAAGAATAGTCTGAAAGAGACACAGGAAATCAGAACAACGCCACAAAACCATCAAACCATCAAACCATGAGAGCTCCACCGTTTACGCAGAGAACTCACCGACTATCAAGCGCTCTGTGTCTGGAAGCTTTTTGAAAATCTTGCGAAAATCTTCATTTCTTTGTTTGTATGTGGGACTTAAAACCTAAAATAAAGAAAACCCAGTGAACGTTGAGAACTGCTCAGCAAAACATCCGCCACAATAATGAGGAATGACTTACATTATACCAGCTCTGCATTTTCTGAAACAAAAACAGAAAAAATAAATTCTCTCTTTCTGGCATTAGAATACACAGTGCTTATAACACCTCTCATTATGCTAGAGGTAGAGATTATATACTGCTTCTTTTTATGCTTTTACGCTTAGAGATTTTTATTTTATTTGATTTAGTATAGAGTTATTGTTCATTTGTCTTGTGTGCTGCTCATTCCTACTGTTGACGGTGGTGACGCAACACTGAAACTTTCCCCACTGTGTGACAAATAAGCAATTTCTTAATCTTTCTGTAAAACTGCTGCAGGTGAAGGGGGAAAAAAAACAACGAAAAAACAAAATGAAAATTAATATGCTGTCTTTTAAGGTCACACGCGGGTGGGGCTAACTGTCAAACTGTAAGTAAGTAATGTTTATTTATATAGCACATTTTACAGACCAAAGTACAGACCCAGAGCACTTTACAATGTTCAGAGTCAGATATTGTTCCAATCATTCCACACACGGTGATGACAGAAGCGAGTCCAGAACACACTGGTCCATCAAAGCCTCTGACCCAACACCATCCATTCACTCTCTCATTTACATTCAGACCTATTGTGCATGTCTTTAGTGGTAGGTGAAAACTGGAGCACCCGGAGGAAACCTACGCATACACAGGGAGAACATGCAAACTCCACTCAGAAAGGCCCTGTTCCGACCAGGATACGAACCCAGGACCTTCTTGCTGAGAAGCGAGAGTGCTAACCGCTCAGCCACCGTGCCGTTTACTTGTTAAATTTAGTTACTTAATTAGTTCATCGTTTTTCATACAGTTTATTATGTGTAAATAACAAAAAAATAATTTCCCCACAGTGTGACTACTAAAATGGTATTCATTCATATCTTTATTTTATAAATTTTAGTTTCATTCTGATTATGTTTGAACTAAAATTCTTACTTATTGCTTAGTTTAGTCTTATTTGAAAGGAACATTAAGATCAAAGACAGATATTTTTGGAACCAGATTATAGCCACATCTGTAATCCTAATCTATACTTTACAAGCACACACAACACTTTAGATTAGCCCTCAATGATTAACGCTTAGTTAAGTGCTAATTAGTGAACCCTAACGCTAACCCACATGGGAAAGCGTCGGTTAATAGTTAGTGAGATGTTGAATAAGGCCATGTAGAAAAAGGACTAATATGTGCTGAATAAATACCAAATAAAAGATAAATATCCATAAAATATACTCAAATTAGCACATTACTCGCTGTTAATTAGTGAGGGCTAAACTAAAGTATGACCCATTATTCTTAATGAGATGAAGACGGCATGTTGTGGTCTGATTTGTTCACAATAATTTACTTTTACAAGACTTTGTCGGGACAAACGGCACGTGTCAGTTATGAAACAGATTATAGGCACCACTGCTTTATAGTTTGAAGGCACATAATCTGACAACTTTACTGAACATGAGTCTGAGATGGTAGAATATGTTGTTTTTCAATGTTAAAAGTTGACACACAAAACATGACAATTGAATTTAAATGACATAATACATCAATTAAAAATATCACAGCAACAAATTGTGCGTATGAGTGTGTTCGCAGTAAGAGGCAAATGTCAATGAAAGTATCTGGACTTTAAAATGTTATAACTCAAAAACTAAAATTACTATCACAGATTGAAACAAGATTTCAAACAGACATATCAAAGAGAGACAATCCCACTATCTCTGATAAACAACCAGATCAGCCTCTGTGACCCAGTTCCATATAAAATAAAAGGTCATCAGTGACAAAGAAGAACTCCCACAGATTCACATCAACACAACATCAGGAAATCACTTCAGTTAAAAAGGAATCATTCTTTAATTTAAATGACCTTTGAAAAAAAATTGTAAAAATTAAACTTGAGAAACAAAAAATGGTCTGGCGTCATATTTAATTGGTTTACTTTATGAAAATATCACTTTGTTTCTACTCTGTGTAAACCTAGTGCACTTGTATATAGTAAACTGAAGACATTTATATATTATTTATTTTTGCCTTCTTGTTTTTATTCTGCTTTAACTTGTCTGCACAGAGAGCCAAAGCAATTTCCTAGTTTGTCACTTCCTGTTGCTCACGTTCTGATTCTGAAACAGCCGCATTAGGAAACTTGACTAATAGCTCTAATGGACTGAAGAGGCGTTTGGATAAATGAAAAACATAATATATCTTCTGATTATTAAAATCCAATGTTTACCCTTTAATGTGAACAAGCCCAGATGGAGACACTCGGTAAGTTTATTTCACTAATTGAACGTTTGAGATCTATAAGTTTTAACAATGGATTGTCTTGTTATTTGGTTTTTCTACACCAGACAATTAGTTTAATATTAGTTTATAGTATTTAGGGCATAATTGTGTGTGTAGTGTAGTGTGTAGTGTATGTGTAATGTGTAGTGTCTACTGAGGCTGTGCGTACCTTGGCATTGCGTGAGAAGTGTCTTGAGGCGATGGGATAGGCAGAGGAGATGGAGGAGGCAGAGGTGGCAGAGGGGAGAGGGCTTTCTGAACCTCCTCCTACGCTGGTCCTCTCTCCTCCTCCACCTCCTCCTCCACCTCCTCCTCCACCTCCTTCGCCCTCGCTCGTCCTGCCGCCCCCCAGGACCCTTCGCCGCAGAGACGGAGAGCTGCCGGGGGTGCTGCGGGGAGAGTTACTGGCCGTGCTGTGGACAGAGGAGAAAACACAGAATGAGAATGGGCTGCAGCGTTTTAAAGCTGGAGGACTTTTGAAACCACAAAACAATTTTCACACTCTTATAATAGTTTTGTTGAGAGCGAGAACGAGTGTGAGAGCGAGAACGAGTGTGAGAATGAGAACAACTGTGAGAGCAAACTTTAAAACCACAAAACAATTTTCACACACTTAAACTAGTTTTGTTGAGAGAGAGAGTGTGAGAGCGAGATTGTGAGAGTGAGTGTGATTGTGAGAGTAAGAGCGAGAGTGTGAGAGCGAGAGCGTGAGAGTGAGAGCGAGAGCGTGAGCGAGAGTGTGAGAGTGAGTGTGAGAGTGTGAGAGCGAGAGTGTGAGAGTGAGAGAGAGAGAGAGTGTGAGAACGAGTGCAAGTGTGAGAGAGTGTGAGCGTGAGAGTGAGTGTGTGAGTGTGAGAGTGAGTGAGAGTGTGAGCGTGAGAGTGTGTGAGCGTGAGAGTGAGTGAGTGTGAGAGTGTGAGAGTGTGAGAGTGCAAGCGTGAGAGTGTGAGAGCGTGAGAGAGTGAGTGTGTGAGAGTGAGTGTGTGAGCATGAGAGTGAGTGTGTGAGCATGAGAGTGAGTGTGTGAGCATGAGAGTGAGTGTGTGAGCATGAGAGTGAGAGCGTGAGAGTGAGTGTGTGAGCGTGAGAGTGTGAGTGTGAGTGTGAGAGCGTGAGCGTGTGAGCGTGTGAGTGTGACAGTGAGAGCGTGAGTGTGAGCGTGAGTGTGTGAGAGTGAGTGTGTGAGTCAGAGTTCAGATATTGTTCCATTCTCAATACGGAACAATATCATGACAGAAGTGAGACACCAAACACACTGGACCATCAGAGTCTCCGACCAAACACCATCCATTCACTCACTCATTACATTCATACCTATTGTGCATGTTTTTAGTGGTAAGGGAAACCGGAGCACCCAGAGGAAACCTACGCAGACACAGGGAGAACATGTAAACTCCACTCAGAAAGGCCTTGTTCTGACCGGGATTCGAACCCAGGACCACCGTGTCGCCCAAATGTTCTCAAAATGATACTTAAACAAGACTTTGGAGTGAGAAAATCAAAATGTATTTATGAAACAACAACAAACATTAACATCTGTTCCGATTTTTCAGATAACCGGCTCTGAAAGGTTCAATGTTCGCCCCGATTTAATGGGACAGTCGTTCTCTCCAACTGCTGACTACACTAAGGTCACGCAAGGCCAATCTTATCGACCACGCTCTGACAAGACGAGAGGCAGCCGTGTCAAAGCCCTCACAGGCAGAAACTCAAACTGCACAACCCCCATCTGTGAGAATGTGCCTTTGGTTATTGACTGTAAACAGTAAAGTACAGAGGAGGCTCGAACCCAATCCTTTCTGCAGATTCTGTGTTTACATCAAAACAATTCTAGGTTCAGCAAAAACACCATCATGAGCATGGAAGCAAAGTAAAGTGTAGGAACATGGATTTACGCAGAAAAACAGGAAATTATAGTTTTTTGCTATTATTGTGAACAGGTGAACAAGGTCGACCTGCATTGACTTTGGCGGATGAAGAGATAAACATTTTGACTGTTTTTTTTAGATGTTAAGGTTAAATTTATTCATTCCATGTAGAGAAATGTGTTCGCATTTGACCCATCCTGCAATGTCACTAGGCCGTCTGTCAGTATCCCATCTCCATCTCTTGGTCAAAACAGGAGCCAGCTTATACCCATTATATATGTTTTTTTTTTTAGCGGGTTAGGGTTTTAGTGGTTAAGTGAGAATGTACGCAGACACGGAGAGAACATGCAAACTCCACTAGCCGTGTTCCAACTGGGACTCGAACCCAGGAGTCCAGGACCTTCTTGCTTAGAAGTGAGAGTATATGAAAGAGATCAAAAGTGGACGTGCTAAGTACCTGACTCAAGACTAAAGAGTGTACAGTAAGTTTATTTTACGCGTACACTCTTTAGTAAGTCTATTTTAAGCGTTAGTACGGGATCAATAGAGATCCTTGGCAAAAGGCAGCATTCATGGGACATCACAACATTCCAAAGAGCCAATATTACATTGTTTTAAAGCATTAGTTTAAAGCATTTTTCCTTGGACAATCCCCATGAAAACTGTCTCAAAGTCTCCCCTCTTCTTCATCAGCAACTATCAACAACGGTCTAATTATTTTCAAATAAAAAAAATGGTCTGAAAGTGGTGACAATATTCAAAAACATGCATTTGCTTTCCAACATAAGCATATATCAGGTTTGGGCATTTTCCTTTCTCAACATTACTTTCACAAATAGCTTAATTCCCCATTCATGTACAGCGACCTTGAGGATCTAGAACGACGTCTAAGAAAAAAAATATATTAGTTGTTTAGTATTATTCTCTTTGCACCTGAAAAAAGGATTATAGAACATGAACTCACTGTACTGGTGTGAGATGACATTGATTTGAGAGTGGGTTTACAGTGAAGACGTGCGTTTCATGACACAGCAGGTTGTATGAGAATGGACCATAGTGTGAGAGTGGAGCAGGAGGACAGCTGTCATCAGTCTGTGCGGCTGTTTACAAAGTCACAACAGCGCAGCGTGTGGATTTCACCTCAGACTGCTCCGTCTTATGCCCCACTTCTCACACACGTCACCCACACACAAACATACACACATGCACGCATTCAAATTATGAGATCCTTTTTTTTGGGCCCATATTGGGGAAATTTAAGTGTTCAGTAGACATGAGGAGCACACAACACAAGACAAACAACAAACAATAACGCTATACCAAAACAAAAGCAAGTAGAAAATCTATAGCTTTGGCAAAATGAAGAAGCAAGAATAAGGTACGACATCTCCAACCACACACATACATATATATATACTGTACACAGACACACACACACACACATATATATACTGTACACAGACACACACACACACACATATATATATATATACATACACATGTATATACTGCACACACACACATACACATATATATACTGTACACAGACACACACACACACACATATATATATACTGTACATACACATGTATATACTGCACACACACACATACACATATATATACTGTACACAGACACACACACATATATATATGACTGTACACACACACATATAAATATATATACTGTACACACACACACACTGTATACACAAACACATTATATATATATATATATATATATATATATATATATATAATATATATATATTACACACACACACACACACACACACACACACACACACACTGTATACACACACACATATATATATTCTGTACACACGCACACACACACACACATACATACACACATACAGAGACACAAACACACACAGAGCAGCTAACGCGACTAAACCAAAACAAAGCGAGTCCCCTGGAGCAGTGGGGCCCGTCCGTGTGCCATAGTTGGCCGGTGTGGAGGCGGTGCAGACGGGCTGTGGTCAGGGGGGGGGGCAGTCGTACAGTATGTGCCCACCCGGACAGATTATGACATTAAAACAGTGTGCACACGTCTTTACACTCACGGAAAGCTGCCATTGCGCCACAGCCAAGCCACGCAGCGCGCACAGTTTATCCATGTCTTATTACCAGTCCAGTCTGCAAGGTGATCATGCAGAGCTAGCATCGAAGCTAGTTTTTACCCCTGTCTACGGTCTGTGCACCAGCCCCACGCTACTTACTCAAACATCCCAGCCTCAAAGACGTCAGGGTCGAAGAGAAACGCGCAGATGGAACTCGCTGGATCCGTGAGCTGAGTCAAATCAGACTGGATGCTGCCTGGTTCTGCACTTGCTTTCCGCGTTTCCCGTGGAGGAGACCGCTCATTGCGCCCATCTTGCACCGGCCAGCGGTCAGATATGCGTGTGCACAGTCTTCCACCTGCAGCTCAAGTCTGGGACCGGACTGACCCAGAGCCCTACGCCGTCCTCCTGGAGCTGGGGAGCGGGCAGCGCGTCTCTGCGTCCATCGCTAATCCATGATCCACGGAGCGGTGCGGGGTGGAGGAGGGAGGGGCTGCGCTGTGCACCGGGGACATGGGCCTGGACTAAACTGGGGGGGGGGACCACACCGATAAGGAGGATGAGGCTTATCTTCACACACAAGAGCTCGCTTTAAATAACAGGGCACTCTCTCAAGCACGTCACCGACAGAAAAAAAGGACAGCCAAGTTCCAGCCACATTTTCTGCAAAAGTCTTCCAGAAAATGTGAGAGAGAGACACTTCTACTCTGACAATGTTCAAATCCAGATTGACAACGGTTCTGTTCAGCTGTGCATACAACTGAAGGTTTGTATTTTCACTCTTTTTAATGTACTGTGATTATTTATGCTTTTAATGTCTTGTGTGATTGCTTATTGTTGCTTATTGTTTTCTTGAGAACCTTTACCAAGTGTATGAACCGTGCTTATGATTCAAAACAGTGACCCTCTTATGACAGTAGAGGCATTTCTGGGAATATTAATGACAAAGTTCCAAGAAACTGCAACACAATCCGCCCATTATTGTACAAGATAATAGAATAAATGTGACATGTCTTAAAATGGTCTCTTCTATCAAGTCATCAAACATACTGCTGTACAACTCCATTCAGTTGCTATAACCATAAAAACTAAACATTATGCAGATTCTTGTATCATAAACCAGTAAGTACACACACTAGCTTTATCTTATTTACCAAGAAGTTAAGTAAAACCTGCTTCAATACAATACTATGCATCCAGAGACTCCAATTAAAACCGTACAAATCCAACAGAAAGTCTTTGACACAGAGGCAGGAATAACATTCTTCTGACCTTATAATTTTTTAGCTCCAAATAGCATGTTTAGGAAAGGGCAGGGTGGGTCCAGCATCACTCCATCTGCAATAACAGCTCTATAATTAGAGGTTGGCTATTAAAGCTGAGGTACCCAACTTTCAAACCATAAAAATGTAACTATAAACCGGTAATACAGTCTTAACAAGCTCTCAGCTCTCAGACTGTCACGTTTTCAGATAAGCTTTTTCAGACAGATAAGTGAAAACACCTCCTGTATCACATATGATAAGATGACAGCATTCACTGGTCTCGCAAAATGTTATTTTTAGGTACAAACAATGCTATAATGTATGTCATATGCACTTTAATGTATAGAATTAATTCATTCATTTTCTACCCCTTTATTAGTCAATTTCTGGGTCGGGGGTTGCTAATGTATAGAATGCCTATTGAAATTTGACAATACTAAAAAACCCACATTGGCTTAAACGAGAAACAAAATCAAGTCCTGCCTATCCCCAGTAATATTTGTATACAATATAATCCTCACTAGTTCTCTGCTCTCGGTCTTGGTTACGGCTTTTTCAGACAGAAACATTGAAAAAATTGAAAACAACTCTCCTTCAGCCAATCAGCTCTCAACCCAAAACATCGAATAGTGATAAGAGTTATTATTCATAAAATGTGACTTTTAGGGACACATATAATGTAGGGGAGGAGTCACCTATCCACACTTTAGTATATGTCATTGCGTACTACAGTATATAGAATGGCTAGAGCATTTTCCAGGCCAGTCATATTGGTGTCATAATGATGCATCCATGTAGCGGCGAGTCCACCTGGAAAAAGTCCAGACTACCACCCAATCCCTAAACCCTCAATCTGTGGTTCCATTCCTGGATTAGTCCTGCATCATAATCCATGGTTGTTTCTCCACCATTCTAGTGCGTAATCTGCTTTTCTCAACTTCAACACAGGCCTGTAATAAAAGAGATGTCATCAAACAACGCACTGCAAGGCAAATCTAAAAGGACGGAGCAAAGTGAATGAGCTGAATGTGTTGAAAAATCAAGTCAGAGGTCAAGTCCAACGTGCAAGGTCTCTCCCTAATGTCCATTCATGTAATTTTACAACATGTTCACCTTTATAACAAACGACAGTGAATATCAGAAAGAGCGTGTAACGTAGCATGCTGTACAGTCAAGATTGTGGGATCTTGGTCTGCTGACTCAAGTCAAGATACGAGAAAGTCAACAAGTTTGTCTCAGGACTGCAGCACAAACTGTTCAAGCAAAAAAGAAGAGGTGGTTCTGTTTGAGATTAGAAATTGTTGGAGGGATTTGAGTTCAGTTTCACAGACAGAAAATGTTGGAGTTTAGAAGCAGACGGTAAACAGGTGTGTGTGTTAGGGCTATTGTTTACACGTGTTTAGGGCTGAAACATGGGTTATTGGTGGACTTTCTTGGCCTCAGCTCTCCCAAAGTTCATTTTTTTGATTCCTTGTTTGTTAGTTATTCTAAAAAATGAAAACATAAACATCAATATCGGAGTTCTGTCCATGCCAAATGTGACATGTAAATTACTCCGGTGTGAGATCAATAAAGTGTATCTTATTTTATCTTATATAAGCAGTAAGTTCATGTTAACAACTGCTATGGAATGGTCAAATAAATTAGTATTTATCAAAGAATATGTTTTTTTATACCAAGAAGATTCCAAATAAGGCCGCACATCGCAGTAGCCTGAACTAGCGAGCTGGATTCAAAAACAGTGAAAAATATGAGAAAATAGAGAAAATTCTGCACAGCTAAGGGTCTTTTATTTACAGACCATAAGAAGACACATCTGGTTTCAACTTAAAGTCCATGTCACGTGAGTGTAAACTGGTCACGTGACAAATACCATATATGCATACATGTGTTTTCAACCACATGTAGAGGAAGAGCAGCACTGGCTTCCTGTGGCTCAGAGAATAGACTTTAAAACAGCTCTGCTTGTTACAAGTCTCTCCATGGCCTCGCACCAAAATATATTAGTGACATGTTAGTCCCATATGAACCAGCCCGGACTCTGAGGAGCACAGGGACTTCACTCCTGTTAGTGCCCAGAGTCAGGACTAAACATGGGGAGGCAGCTTTTCAGATTCATGCTGCTAAAATCTGGAACAATCTTCCTGAAGATGTGAGACAGGCCTCCTCTCTGACAATGTTTAAAACCAGGTTAAAGACAGTTCTGTTTAGCTGTGCATAAAACTGAGGGATTTTATATTTTTATTTTTAATGTTTTGTGATTATTTATGATTTTAATGCTTTCTTGTTTTGTTCAGCACTTTGAATTGCCTTGTGTATGAATTGTGCTATATAAATAAACTTGCCTACTACATTTCTTTACTTTTTTTTCCGTATTAAAAGAACTATACTTCAGCCTAATCCCTTCGGTCACAACTGCGTTGTTTTTTTCTTTTTTTTTTTTTTTAAATTGCGTTTGTAAATATATGTTAAAGTACACTACTGACATAAGCTACATTGTTTTTGTAACCTTGTCCTTTTTTGAATGCCTTCTTTATGTAAAAAAGTAATAATTTGTATGACCGAATAAACAAATATACTAAACCTTCTAAGTCTTACGCAAAGAAGAGGTTTTATGACTGATAATAATGGGAATGAGATGGAAAAGTTTTCTATAGACAACCAATAACGTATTATGTATGAAGATTGGTATCGCATACATTTAGTTTTGACTTCAAATATGTAAATGATAATATTTCAGCTTTTGGCCATGTTTCATTTGTTGTCCCTATTTACACACACAATAAGTTACGCAATCCATGTCCAAATACCATTTACAACTTATACAAAAGTAGAAATATACCAACCAAAACATGCAAAGAAGAGGATTTATGACTGATGGTGATAATGGGAATTTCTATAGTAATGCAGTATTCTGTATGAAGATGTTTGAGTGGCATTGCAAAAGATTTGTTTGGGTAAAAATGTATAAAATAAAACTCATTCAACAGATTTAAATATATAATTGATTAGTTCATAATATTTCAGCTTTTGGCCATGTTTTATTGTTGTCCCTCGTCATTTACACACACACACACACAAAGCTTCACCTACATCTACATGTGCGAGAGACCTCTTCCAAGCGATCTTGGAAACTCTCACATATCTACGTAATCTTGAGTCTTCCCAAAGTTCATGAGACGCTGGTGTCAGACGTGCAGCAGCCACAACAACAATACAAACATGTGCAGAAAGAAATGAAACTGGATTCTCTTTCCTCGTTCAGGAGACACAGAAACCTGAAACTGAAGCCATAGGAGATATACAGGAGCAAATATGCTGTTCCTATAATAAAAATATGCTTATACATATACAACCTTAGATATTTCTGCAAAGCTTTTGTGGCCATGCACTCACTAATTATAGAATGACATTGATTCTAGCCTTACATACGTTTATTTGGCTAAGTAAAACCATCAACCAATCACGATCAGACACATGTCACGGTGATCCTCATATAGAAACCAGAATCGGGTGTTGTCCGACTCTAATTACAGCCCACTTCTGCTCAGTATTTAGCAGCAAACAAAAATGTACTTTTCAAATATTGCAATTGATCACGAATCGTTTTAACATCATGCAGGCCCAACATCAATATTTACAACTAGTTTTTATCTTCATAAGGACATCGAAGTTTGGTAGTGAATTGTTTTTGCTCTACCGGAAGCAACAACTAATTTGGGAGTAATTTCTCTCGGTTGTAAACTGGCATCAGAAGTAATTCACACAGAAAAACAAGCCTCTTTGGAAGGATTTGTTGAGAAAAAATCACTATCAAACTGAATTAAATTAAGTTATGTGACGTTAAAATGAATAAAAGATCCTTGAACCCTTTTGCAAAACAAAAATATGTATAAATATATATTGTAACTATTATTATTAATTAATTATTATCATTTTTATCATGTGAACAAATGTTTCAATGTGACGATATAGCTGTTGTGTTCAATGGTCTGCCTAATTATTACAACATTTCTATCACATGTTTTTATCCCTGGAATGGACCACAGCAGTAGTCTTTGCTTTGCTTGAGACCAATAAGACTTCAAATATAAGTATACAACCAATAATTTGATGCCAGCTCAAAATGGTACCGCTAAGCTAGGCGCCGGTCTGTAACGCTGAAAACAAGACAATCATTTCTGACTCTTTATTATACGCAAAAAACCCCAAGGTCAATAAAGCAACAAGCAGAAGGGCACAGCTGTTAG